CCCCCCCGGTCTGCAGACCAGGGGGGGGGAGGGCAAAGCAGAGCCAAGCCTCGGAGCGCGTGGGCAGCGGACAGCCCTGTCCGCTGCCCATGTGTTCCGCCGCTTTGCTTCCTCTCCCTGGTCTGCTGGAGACCAGGGAGAGGAACGGCCCCGTTCGTAACTGCGGATCCGACACAAGTCGGATCCGCGTAACTCAGGGACTGCCTGTATAGGTATTCTGCCTCTGAAACCAAGATATGTTGCACTTGTGCAAGCTCTGCTTTACAATGGAGCAATGAATCTTTTCTATATCAGTGCGAAAAGATTCCTGGTGTAGTCAGGCCTTAAGCGTATGTCAGGAAACAAACTATTCAACAGACATTATGCCTTCAACCGTGACAGAAAATACTTCAAACAACCCAAATTGCCATCATAAAGTGAACATTCACATGAACTTCATTTTCAGTATTTATAAGATTATATCTCCCCGGGCCCTCACTCATTGTTTTAGTCAGGTCACATATGCAGCCCCTTACACGCATGCAAATCTCCACTGCTTAATGGGGTTCCACTCAAGGGCAAAAGTCCATCAATACAAATCCAACTGTGGGAGGATTCACGTTTGTTACAAGTCTGTTTAACCAATGACAAAAGATATTCTCCTTCCTCTCTGCAACTTTGTTTCAGTTAACCAGGTTAACAGTAATGGACTTCAGAGAAAGGCTAAATTTACATTCTAGTCCTCTGAACTGATAAAGCAGAAATTTATAAGGCTGTTATTTCCTGAATACATGCTTCGTATCTAAATCAGGCCCAAAACTAATAAAGTTTTGTGACTGCAAAGTTCCAGGAAGAGCTTTTACCCAGAGAAGGAAGAAGATCTGCACAAACTTTATGCAGTTTGCACTCGTTTTCAACTTTCTTATGTATTTCTTTGATTTCAGAGTATGAAGTCTCCTTTCAAAGTACCATATTCTGTATATAATTTGACATATTGCACACACCCCAACAGCTAAGAGTTGTAATGGAATTTCCACAATGCACAACAACAAATAGCTTATTTCAGCAAAAATATTAAGTGAAGTAAGCTCTTATTAGTTCTCACTGCATTTACGGAACTACAGCCATCATGAGACTTTGACAGTGCAAATGCTCAAGTTAACACCAAATAACATGATTCAGCTTTTTTGGCGTTATCTGCTGACCGAGGTCTCCATGTGATGGTAAACCAGACAGATGAACCCTGTCCTGCAATAGCAAAATATAGATAAGAGGCTACAAAAACTGTTCGGGAGCCTTCTTATTGGATAGAGCCTACTGAACCAGTAAAATCTATATAACAAGTGTCAAAACAGGGAGGTGGGTCCCGTTTTGTTGTATTATTTGATCAAAACTCCATATTTCTTAGAGACACTTTCAAAAATGAAATATTACAAATAGAACTTAAAAAGGGGAAAATAGTAACTACAAAGGGTTAAAGAAACCAAGTGAGGACAACGGTCAGATAATTCAGGAAGCAAACTAGCATTAATTATATAGGCAAAGACAAAAAACACCCACAACTCCATGCTTGCTTTGCCCATATTTTAGTTTGCATTACAGAGAAAAAGAGTGAAGAGAGGGGAACATCATGCAATGTTCCCTTTAATCTTTTCCATCCATGTGCAGATTTTTTCCATGTGTGGAATATTTTAAGTTCACCAAGGCATGTGCAAATGTGCACCACCCGTAGAAAAAAAAACAGTGAGCGCTCTGCTAAACTCTTGAGTGTCCCCACAAGTGCACAGTTTACAGAGAATACTGAAATAATGTATTGGATTCTTAGCCAAATCTGTGTTTAAGACTGTGCTTTTCATCCCAGACTTGGGTGTTTGCAAACACTTAGGATGTAGCTAGCTACTTATCTATAAGTATTACATAAGTAAATAATGTCTTTAAATGACACCATCGGTATTGGTTCCTCACTCTAGGATGTCATGCTCCCAATGGCATCAGGACACAATTATACTATTTTTAAAACTCTTTACAGAAGCAGCAGTTAGTTCACAAAGCGAGTCCTGTCTTCTCTACTGAAGCAGCATACATACATACAATGCTGCTATCCCTTTAAGTGTCCTAAATCAGTGAGTTCATTCTTCATCCCAACCAAGCAAAGAGGTTTAGCAGGAGCTGATTAGGGGCTTTCAGGGGTTACCACTCCAACTTCTCATCTCTCAAAACTCTTTACAGAAGCAGCAGTTAGTTCACAAAGCGAGTCCTGTCTTCTCTACTGAAGCAGCATACATACATACAATGCTGCTATCCCTTTAAGTGTCCTAAATCAGTGAGTTCATTCTTCATCCCAACCAAGCAAAGAGGTTTAGCAGGAGCTGATTAGGGGCTTTCAGGGGTTACCACTCCAACTTCTCATCTCTCTGTGT